AAAGAAAGAAAGAGAAAGAGAGAGAGAGAGAGAAAGAAAGAAAGGAAGAAAGAAAGAAAGAAAGAAAGAAAGAAAGAAAGAGAGAAAGAAAAGGAAGAAAGAAGAAAGAAATCTTCTGATGACTCAGAGGCTAATAGCACTGGCCGCTCTTGCAGAGGACCCAGGTTCAGTTCCCAGCACCCACATGGCAGCTAATAACCATCTGTAACTCCAGTATCAGTGACTCTGACACCCTCTCTGGCCTCCACGGACACTGCATGACATGAGTGTACTTACGCACCTTCAGGCAAAACACTCATACACATAAAATAAAAATAAATAAGCCAAAAGTTTTTTTAAGAAATAAATCTTCCAATAATATATGCATCAATAGATTTTTTAAAATAAATTAAAATTCTAAAACAAGAAATCTTCAGTTCATCAGCAAACTCAGTTACTAAAAACAATTTAAGTTCTGAAAGCCAAAGTCTTAGGCTGCTTTAAAATTGACAGAAATATTAAAATCCACTATGAAATTGAAAAGTCAAGTGGAAAATGACTGTTCACAGCTGTCATTCACCAGCATGTGTAAGTAATGTACACGAGCACAAAGGTTCTTAAGTAAAAAAGATTCTTTAAAATGCATTTGTGTACATCGTTCAGAAAGGATTATTTTTTAATTGTGGGAAGAGAAAACATCTCAGGTTTTCCCACTAGATGACAGATAGTAGGTTTGACTGCTCTTGTTTGATATGGCTCCTGCCAAGTATCTTTACGTACATTTTTCCTTTGGTAATTGATAACTAATTCAAGAGATCATGTGACTATCCCATTCCCCAAATACCTTCCACTCAGCACTATACTCTTTGAATTATAAAATAAAAAGTAGCTAACAAAAAGGCTTTAAATTTAGCCAGGTGTGGTGGAGCACACCTTTAATCCCAGCATTTGGGATTCAGAGGCAGGTGGATCTCTGTGAGTTCAAGGCCAGCCTTGTCTACATAGTGAGTTCCAGGACAGTTGGGGCTACAGGGAGACCCTGTCTCTAAAAGACCAAAAAAAAGGCTTTAAATTTAAAGAATCATAAAAGAGCTGGCTGTGGTGGGGTATACATATAAATCCAGATACTCAGGAGTTGGAGGCCCAGCCTGGGCAAGACCTCTATTTTAAAATAAATATGTAAAAATATATACAAACATACATACATACACATTTCAAAAAATAAACATAGTCGGGCGTGGTGGCACAAGCCTATAGTCCCAGCACTTGGGAGGCAGAGGCAGGCGGGTCTCTGTGAGTTCAAGGCCAGCCTGGTCTACAGAGCGAGTTTCAGGACAGCTGGGGCTACAGGGAGACCCTGCTTCAAAAAGCCAAAAACAAAACAAAACAAAACAAAACAAAAAAAACTCATCAAGGCAGATTTTACTTTTGCAAAAGGGTTTCTTGAGCGGTCAGTCAGATCTAGCAAGTACACACAGGACCTAGAAGCTTGGTGGGCTTTTATCCCTAATGCAAGAGAACTGTGTCTTTTCCGATAGATAGATAGATAGATAGATAGATAGATAGATAGATAGATAGATAGATAAACAAACATGTCCTGCTCAGGTCATGTTGTGAACACCTGTGCCCAGCTGGAGGGTGCTACTTCAGAGTGGAGCCTTTAAGAGGTAGGGCCTGGCTGGTGGATTTGAGCCACACTGGGCAAGCCTAAATATGTATCATTACTGTTTTCAATTAGTTTTCTGATTTCAAACATACCACAATTAATATCCTTGAACTCTGGTTTTTGTGACTGCATTTGGAAGAAAAACACATTAGAAATACAACTGTTGGATCCAAATATGTACACAATGTCTTCTGTTTTGAGAGACAGTGTCGAGTCATCAGCTTCGGCTGCCACCAACAGCAAGCAATGCTGTTCCCTTGTCTCTTCTTCCTTAGCAGCAGTAGACCTCAGTGACTGCTTTAAGGGTGGACAATTCATGTTTTATTTTTTATTGTTTGTAAACAAGAAAGCCAAGTATCTCCCCATGAATTTAATGGATATTTTTAATCTTTTTTTTACAACCTGATTACTTATAGTCTTCATCCTATTTTCTATGGGGTGTTAGAAGAATGGCATTTAGTATTTTAAGCAGTGTTTTAAGAAATAAGCTTCTTTATAATATTCATAAAATATTTTAGCTTATTATCAGCACCAAAGAAATTTCTACCTCCAAAAGCTATAATTCCTGGAAGAATTTAATTCCATGCACTGTAATTCACATGTTCCTAACTGACCTTTAGATTGAGAATAGTTATATTAATAGCCTAGAGAATCTTCTATATCAAAACAGTCATAAGACTGTTTAAAAATATCAAATTTCTATAAGTACATAATTGGAAATTATGAAATGCTAATTACTAATCTTTTTTTTTTTTTTTTGGTCTTTTTGAGACAGGATCTCTCTGTGGCCCCAGCTGGCCTAGAACTCACTATGTAGACCAGACTGGCCTTAATCTCATGGAGATCCATGTGCCTCTGCCTCCCTAGTACTGGGATTAAAGACATGCACCACCACACTTGGCCAAGAAATACAAATCTTTAGCAGACACTTTGGAGCCATTCATTTCATCAAAGTTTCTCCTTCAGAGCTAAACCAAGACATTTCCAAGAACAAGGAAACCCAAAGCCTAAATTAAATCTGTCTAGAGACAGCATAGAACATCTATCTTTCACTGATATGAGATACTCTCTACTGTAAAAATCAATTTCACATAGCCCTGGAGTAGTCACAGGTTGGAGGGGCAGCTTGCCTGGTCAATGTAAAAAGCTGTGCCTGCACGGATCTCCCGTCGCTGTTTGAGGTCTGTCTCAGTGGTGTCCCTTGACAGGGCGATGTATTCCACCTCTCGTTTGGTCAACTCCTGCGGAGCACAGTGCAAAGTTATTCAAGAGCCAAAATCAAACTTCCAGCCTATAATTTGGAGCAAGTTATTTAACATTGCTACTGTCCTACAGAAGAGCAATATAAATTATAGATTAAAAATTAAATTGAATATTATAAAACATACAACATACATACAAACTTATACATACACATACACACACGCATACACACACTCAGCTTTACTTCTACTGTACTTGATTCTACTACTTAAGCAATAATAATGAAAATGAGATCCTGAAAACCTTAATTTATCCTTTTCCAAATATCATGAATAATTATGGGGCACTATTCCTATTTGGTTTTCCCACACGTTGTAATAAATTTCTGTAATATTTATCTTTATTTTAAAGTGTGATTTCAGTTCATTTATTCCAGTGACCAATGGGAGGGGAAAGAAGGAGGAGGAAGAGGAGGAGGAGGAGGGGATGGGGGAGGAAGAAGAGGAGGAGAAAGATAAGCAGGAGGAAGAACAGGAGAAGGGAGGGGAGAGGAGGAGACAAAAACAGGTAGAAAAGAAAAAAATTTATCTTGCCACACCCAAGAGTCATGTGATATGAAGGGGGAAAGGGGAAAACATCCAGAATCCATATGGTTTCAGAACAGTTTGCCTATTATTAAAATCATTTTGCCCTACATCTAACAGCTAAGTAAAAAACGGGGGGGGGCTTTCATCATTACTGTGATGGCTAATCCTGGGTGTCAACTTGACTGGATCTGGGATTAACTGAAATGAGAGAGATCTTCTTGATTGGGTCATCTGAGGCTGGAAGACATACCCTAAATGTGGGTGTTACCGTCTGATGGCAGCCCGTATAAAAGACCAAGGCAGAGGAGAACGCCAGGCTTCTTTCTGCTTGCCTTCTCTCTCGCTGGTGACTTCTTCTTGCTGCTGTAGACTGAAGACTAGCTGATCTTTTGGAATTGGTCAGACCTTCAGGGCCAGATTGGGACTACTGAGACATCCAGCCTTGTGGACTGAGCGACTACGGATTCTCAGCCTCTCCAGTGTGGTGCAGCCATTGTTGGACTACTCAGACTCTATCCTGTGACCTAAGGTGATAAATCTCTATACATATATATTCATTCTACTGGTTCTGTTTCTTTGGAGAACCCTGACTAATACAATTACCTTTGTCTTTACAATGGTGAATTAAGAACAATGACATTCTCCAATCAAATAAAACAATCAATTTTCACTACACAGAGAAAACATATTGATTTACTAAAGTATGCAGGAAAAAGTTGAGAGGGCAAGGTATTACTGGAGAAAAGGAGATTTTCACACAAGGGTATTGCTTTTCCTTCCACCTTATCCATTTTATATTGATAAATAATGCTTTACTATTGTCAGTAAAGTACTTTACATTCAGTTTTTTATGCTTGTTCCAGACTGCCGTATCTTCAAGTATACATGGAAAAAAAAGACAAAAGTTTTAAATAGAGAATATGACAGTGGTAAAGGTGTGATAACACCAATGTTTTCCTATATACAAATGAATTGTCTGTGAGAGCCAATTTTTAAGTAGCAGTTTCTCTTTTTAGCAGATACCCCCTTCCTGCTTCTGAAACAAACCACTGGTATCTTCAAAGGTCTGATAGTCTCTGATTGGCTGAATATCACCTGCCCTCTGAAAACTGTCATTCACAATGATTGGCAGTGCTATGTGTGCCTCTCACTGCTAAACTGCACCACAGTGAAATCCTAACTGCCACACTGAAGACACTGGCATTATTGTCTCCCGTCTAAGCCTCCTTGGGCTCACCCGCCATGCCAAACACCAGTCTCCTAGTGCTGCTTCATGGACAAGGACACACAGCACCAGAAGGCAGCTGTGGTCAGCGGAGTTCTTTTAAACAATCTACAATCCCTTTTCTTAAACTATTTATTATTTATTATTTTTATTTTATGTGTATGAGTGTATTGTCTGCATGTATATAAGTGCACCTGTGTTGTGCAACACCCATAGAGGTCAGAAGAGGGCATCAAATTCCCCTGGAACTGGAGTTACAGACAGTCATAAGCCACCAAGTGGGTGCTGGGAATCAAACCCGGACCTCTGAAATAGCAGCCAGTGCTTTTTGCTACCGAGCCATCTCTCCAGTTCCCTACACTCTACAATCTCTTTCCATATGAGTTAAATATCAAAGACAACTATCAAATGAGCTCTACTTAATTCTTATCTGGTTCAGCTGGCTTGCTTCCAAATTTCTACCTTTAAAGACGTGGTCTACTCTGGATATCACTAAGTGAACAGAAATTCTCACACCAAGTGACAAGAGCATTCACTGTAGCATTTGCAAGGAGGCAGGCTAGAACTGAGTTTTCATGTCCATGGCCTTTGGCTACCTCTTCACCATATAAAGTTTAGTTGCAGCTGTTTTAAAAGACACATACTTCATATTTGTACACTTACATTGAATTTTTTATAATATCCTAGTCCCTCTCACTCCATAACTCTAACAAACTTGAAAGCCCTGCCAGAAACAAAAACTCAGTAAAATAGTCTTTCAGATGAGCAAGGCACAGAGTACACTTCTGAAAATGAAAGTATTCTAGACTGGGGATTCTCAGTAGTTGGTACCTCATTCGTAGAAAGACACTTGCCTTGTGTATTAACTTAGGATAATGCTACAAATGCACATTATATCTCAGAAACGGATTCTAGGGATAAATAAAAGATACAAAAGCTATGGGGGCTAGTGGGAGTTATGATTCTGAATTATCCCATCTTATTTTTATCATTCCCGCCTCACATACTTTTTGATGTTCTAAAGTAAATTTACCACTGAGATAAAGCACTATATAAAATAGACTAAAAGCATATAAATCAATGTTTCTATAACATGAAAGCATAGAAATCAATGTTTCTATAAATAACACAAGGAAATATTAAACAAGTCTTCTCTTCCTCCTAAAAAGTAGATTCAGAACACAACTTCAACTGAAGACCATTCCTCCTTGAATCAGTAGAGCGATGCCTGTTAATACAGACCTCATTTTATTTGCAGTGAGATCTGAACATTCCAATTTATGTAATAACTGTTCTCAAAGAACTGCTATTATTTAAGAGAAGTGTCAGAAAGGGAAAACAATATGGAATTTCAAGTCTAGTTTCATCACTTTCTAGTTGGATAAAGGCTGAGTAAATCATTCTATCTTTATAAATTTATTTTCTCCTCTATTTTAAAGAAAATAAAAAGAATTATGTAACTATGACATCAAAAATACCCTACACACCTGAGGCTGCTAAAAACCTCATAATTTCAAAAGGCAAGGGAATTGCTTAGTTTTTTAAATGTAAATCCGATACAAAGGGAATTTCACTTAATACAACATAATGTAAATATAACATAAAACTATAAGGGCTTTGGGGGCATTGCTTGTCTCTATGATTTCAGAGTTGCTAATTCTATCCACTACTCACTATCTAGATTTATATTTTTCTTCTACTGGAAATGGAGATCTTTCTGGTTACAGCAAACAAAATGCTAAAGTTCTGAAAGGTAAATGGGCATTTATCTCCCAAATAACCCCCGAATCTCTTTATAAACAATACATTGTTGATGATGGTATTTGTTTCTAGTGTGGATAGTTCTGATATTTTTATACAATCTTCATCTTAATTTATTTTATCACATGCTTAATCAAAATTGAGACCCTTAAGCATTGGTAAGAACTGATTGCTCAGCTGGGCATGGTGACGCATGCCTTTAATCCTGCACTCGGGGGCAGAGGCAGAGGCAGGCAGATCTCTGCAAATTCGAGGCTATCCTGGTCTACATAATGGCCAGTTGGGGCTACAGGGAGACCCTGTCAAAAAAAAAAAAAAAAAAAAAAAAAGAACTTATTACACAGGCTGGAGAGATGGCTCAGCAGTAAAGAGCACTGGTTGCTCTTGCAGAAGACCTAGGTTTGAATCCCAGCACCCACATGGCGGCTAAAAACTGTCCCTAACTCCAGTTCCAGGGGATCCAACACCCTCTTCTCACCTCTGTGGACACTGCACAATATAGGTGCACTTACATACATGCAGGCAATACACTCATACACATAAAATTAAAATAAATAAATTAAATAAATAAATATTTTTTTTAAAGAACTGATTGCTCACCAAGTATTGCATAGCAACAGAGCGTCGAAGAGGCCCAGGAGGTCCTATTAGAAAGACATCTTGCCCCAAAAGATCCTTCTGCATTATCCATCGTAGATGCTGGACTACAGATTGAGCTGGAGACTCTGAAACTTTGAAGAGAGAAAATGAAGTGCAGGTTAAACTATTACAAGCCTTCAAACAATGCCAAACCAAGTACTGAAAAATATACATTTGTATACATAAAGACCTAGAGAGATTATAACTACCTGACAAATTTTCAATTTCACAACAAATTATTATTATTAGTGCTAAAACAGACCATACAGATATCAAAAGGGTCATATACCCTGCACTTCAAAACACATAAGAACACTTGAATAATCATCTTAGGTGTGCCCAAAGGAATGAAAGTATTTTACATGGATGATGTGTGGAATTGCTAACATTGGGGGGGGGGGGAGAACAATGGAGAATCTTTTAGATTTTATTTATTTATTTATTTTTTTAGAATTAACTCTTTCCCAGTCCTTTTTTTTTCCTACAAAGTAATTCAGTCTAATAGTACTATCCCCCCATGTCACTTCATATGTTTAAAAAATATTTTAATCACAATTTCACAGCCTCATCTTTTTATTACAAAGGGATATACCACCAAATCACCCCCAGATAACCAATAATTATCACAAACATGAAAAACGGAGATGAGCATCCCATAATTTAAAGTGGCCATGGTGAGAAGACCCCCAAATTTCACTGGTACTAAGTTTGATGCAATCTTTTTTTTTTTTAATATTGTATTATTTTTATTTTATGTGTATGAGTGTGTTGTCTGCACGTATGTGAATGCATCCATGTCATGCAATGCTGCGCAGGTCAACAGAGGGCTTCGGATTCCCCTGGAACTGGAGTTAAGGACGGTTCGTAGTCGCCATGTGAGTGCTGGGAATCGAACCCAGGTCCTCTGCAAGAGCAGTCAGTGCTCTTAACCGCTGAGCCATTTCTCCATCCCCAGTTTGACGCAATGTGAATGCATCCATGTCATGCAATGCTGCGCAGGTCAACAGAGGGCTTCGGATTCCCCTGGAACTGGAGTTAAGGACGGTTCGTAGTCGCCATGTGAGTGCTGGGAATCGAACCCAGGTCCTCTGCAAGAGCAGTCAGTGCTCTTAACCGCTGAGCCATTTCTCCATCCCCAGTTTGACGCAATCCAGAGGTAGGATCATAGGAGCAAGGGTATTAGTAAGGAAGAAAGAGGGGGAAGTGGGGGCACCTTAAGTGGGAAAACCATGATAGAGGGGGGAGACGATACAAGAGAGAAACAATGCCTAGCTAGTCCTGAATACCAGAGGGAACCATATTATTCCTACAATCTACTGACAAATTATACATAACAGATCAAGAAATATATCTCTAGATAAGGTTTATTTGAGACCAACTGGTCATTACCCAAGATTTATCTGCAGGACACACAGTAATTAAAAATGCCAGAATGGTGGAACTAACCTT